AACGGTTTTATTTTGTTTTTATTTATTACACGAGTTATGTCAAGAATTACGAGAACAGACAGCCGTATAAAATTTTTGATGAATGGATTTATTCGTACTACGCATCTTAATACACTTGCAAAATACACACATATACGACGATAACACTTAATTCGAATAATTAATAAGTGCATTCGAATGTTGCTTCTACAATTAATTATCTATGTAAGTAAGTAATTTAGCAAAACAGGTTGTTGACTCTTTTACTAGTGGGTTTGTTAAACAAGGAAGTTGGTGTATATTCTTTACTTGTTTAGCAAACACTCACAAAAATTAGAAAAATTGTTGTGAGTTAAAAATAATTCATTCGTTTGACAATCGAGTTCCAAACCTCCGCTCATCAATTTCATATTGACAGTACATTAACGGGTATAAGAGAGACCATGAATGGTTAGATACACGTTGGTTGTGTATTAGAATTCACTATACAGTCACCGCACAAAGATCGAGAGAAAGAGAAATCATTCCAACAGGTGTTCGCTAAAGATTGTAACAAGCCTAATGCATTTATGCGGTCATGAATTCATTTTTATTCGGAATCATTTCAGATTTTAAACTTGATATTGAATTAATATTTATAATATATCTCAACGAACAGGTGTATTGAAAACCTGCATAAACATTTTAGGTACGTTCTATACAAAAGTAGGTAAGTCATTAATTGTGGTTCAAATCAACTTATGCTATTTGAAATATAAGGTTTCTAAAAATAGCATTCATCAACCGAAGAAAATCGACTTCTATTCTTTTACAGACTATTAAAAAATGAGATGGACTTTACCGTTTTAATAATTTGCACAGCCAAGGAATTTGCATTTGCACGAGCCAGTTTTCTTGAAATTGTAATTATACGGTGTACGGGACCATATCGAAAAGTGTACGGACAATAAACGCTCGAAACCCGCGTTGTTTTAAAAATTACGAATGGTGGTTCTCAGGGAACGAGACGGTGAAAGTGCAAATCAGTATCTAACAGACGATCTCATTCTATTCAAATGAAACGGGGCGATTCGACCGGAATCTATTTTCGGTATGCCGACATTTTTCAAATCAACTTTCGTTATTTATTTCTGATGATGTTCGAAATGATTGCTTGCAACTTTTTTTCAATGCATATCTAATTTCATCGTTTTAACAAATTATGCTGTAATGCCTTTTGTTCGAAACGTTTCGAATGAACTATTGAAATTGTTTTGACAAGAATTGCACATTTTACACACAATTGAACTGTTCGATTCCGTTAGATCATTGCATAAAACAAATATTCCGTTTTCCCATAACTAATCGTTATGACGATCTATTTTACTACACTGAGAAAAGGCAATTGATTTTTACTTCATATATTATAAATTGAAAATAAACGTTAATTGTAATTTGAATCAATATTAGGTATCACGTAGACTGGCTGGTGTAGACATAAACTACACCTGAAGGGCGATGTTTTAAAAAAATCCAAAATTGCAAGTCAACGTAGGGCTTTTTAGAAAACGTGTAAATCATAATTAGTTACATGTGCTCGCTTATTATTGTTTAATTATAACCGTGAAGGGACTGAAATTTGAAAGATTAATTGATTTTCAGTTCCGAAAAGAATATTGTTCCACAAACATATACGCTCTGTTTTTTAACTTTTAAACAAAGATGAAAATCATGAAGCGAGACATAAATTTGTAGATTCAATTCTCTTGGCATTTTAAAGCTGTAAAAATTCTTCCTGACATTTACAAGGGGTGAGTAATAACCATTAACGTCAAGATTAATATAAAAATTAAATTTATATGGTTGTTTGTTCTTGAACGGTCTTTATTGAAACTTAAATTAAAAGTGTACTTACTTATGCGAGTTTAAAGGATTATTAGGTAATAATCTGTTTAACAGGATTGTCTACACATCTGCCGATTACGTTGTTTAAATAAGTCGATGTAGTTTTTTTACACCTTTCACTGGAAAATTAAATTGTTTCTCGTTCTATAATCGAGTGGAAATTATTTAGCACGCTTGATAAATAAACGGTTTATTATACAACTCTAAACTGACGAAACTGATGTTTATTTCAAATAGAATTGCAAGGATATTTCAAGTTATCACTCTTAATTGAATATAAAGTCATGAGCAGCCTTATGAAGATCCTGTATCTTACATCGATATATAGAAGGTCGAACATTCGACTTCGAGTGTCCATTGTCATCAGGTGACCTAACATTAATTTTTCGAACTTTATCTTATCAACATTCTGACAAATCTTTGAACGGGTGTGAATGTTTAATTAACGGGTTGGAAATGATAATAATCTGTCTCTGGCGTCTAGCCGGACTAAATTGTGCCATTACAGATAACTGAAATTCCCCAAATTGTTTTTCACATCATTTTCAATAAGTGGAATCTCTACGCTCGTCCTACCCAATATAAATATAAATATTGCGTTATTATACGTGCAAAGTTTGGTGACACTTGATGTAGTTAATGTAATTAGAAAGTAATTATTGGTCTTTTTATATTGAATGTGGTAGTTGACCTTTCGAAATCGTCAAGTAGGTAATTTTCAAATTTAATTGCAAAGTGAGAAGTGTGTATTTAGTTGTCTGAATAACCCCTGTCGTGGTTATTTCTATACTCTAAGTTTAATGAGTGGTTACAGGGTCTTTTGTCGATCAAGTGTTTGAGTATAGTAATTATTAACTTTATACTGGTTCACAAGTACACTCACGCTCCCCTAAAAGAAGATTTAATGGCCAATTAAAAATATATATTCGAATGTTTTGCCTCTCATTTTACAGCAGTCTAAAACTTACATATTAAAGTGACCTACTGCACTGGAAAATATTTGTTATAGAAAGGCTGTGAAAACTCATAATCCGCTATTAATTATTTTAATTGCAATTATTAACGATATAGGTTTACTAATTTTTGTCGCTTGTTAATAATTAAGTGTAACGAGGTGTTATTGTAAAATGAATAATATAAAGTTAAAAGACAATAAATAATGGTTATAATGGTGAGAACGTTTTATAATTTGCAAAAAATATTTAAATCCCTTCGCATGATAACAATGCAAGTGCAAACATCGGATTATAGTAATATTTCTTTAACGGCTCGTTATTAAGTTGCAAGAAATCGAGAATAAATGCTGTCATTGAAATTTATTCATTTCCATACATGCTAATGGCTCATGTCATTAGTTTAATCTTAGATTATCTATGTGGGTTTAAAGTAGCAAATAATATTAACGCATAAAATTTCAACTATCAAAATTACGACTTTTTTTTGAACGATTGTAGAAAAAAAATGTAACATCTTAATTAGTAACCAAACGGAACCGTTGTTATACAAATCAAGTAAAACCGCTAAAAACTAAATCACAAACGTTCCATTTCTGGATTTGAATATTCTGTGTACACAATCTAATCCGAAATCTTCATTGATTGCATGACTTCTAATCACGCGAACGCCTAGGTGATGTAGATAGTAAATATATATATGCAACCGAAACTCATACGACTAAAAGTCTTGTGTAATATCGTAATGGTATAAAACGTTACGGCCCTAAGGGATCGATGAACAACTGGGGGAATTTCGAAATTTGCTATAAATGTCGCTGATGTAAAAACGCAGTATATTGCTAGTGTGATCTAATTTAATCGTTACGTAACTATATACCGGAGCGTGCATTCTCTATTACGCCGTTCGATAAAATAAAATTATTGGATTTGCGTTTCTTTATTAAAATTTGTTACCTTGTTGACGGAAAACGTCTTTTATAAAAAGCTGAATGAATTTATTTTTAAACATCTAAACTTCTTCTAAAAGCTTCAACTTATTTTTTTTATTCAATATAGTTCAGAGGAATGCTTAAAAATACGTCTAACTGAAATAAAAAAGTTGTAAGATTTCTTCGAAATATTCTCTTCTCGTGCTCATATGATATCGGGAAACTTCTATTTTTGTAATCACTTCCTCTTTACTTACGTTTTTTTGTACAGTTGTTTCTACAGGGTCATTTTTGTGCATCTTTTTATTATTTTATTTTGACCCACCAGTGAGTTTTTACTTTTTATTGCAATCACAAATAAGCAGTTTAATTACTTTTTATGTCGTAGAATTTATATGTTTATGATAATTTCGATAAACTGTAGCATATTCAGTGTTTGTAATTATTTAGATAAAAGTAAATAAAGTTCCTGTTTCCCCGAAGAGGTTCAAACTACCCTGTATGTTTAGGATCGAATGCACGACAGAAGGGTTTCTTTTTACTGCTAACTTCTACAAACGCAAAGTTAAGATTTACTATATTTGGGTCAATGAACCCCTAACGTATCAATGGAATGGGTTTCTTTTTCGTCATGTTTACCCAAGAACGAGGGATGATAGAGCTCGTGGAAGCTTTCGGATATTTTTGGAAATGGATACGATTTCACGAACGATTTACCGACCACTGTTGTTCTCATGTTCAATTTTTATGTTTGTATATTCGAGAATTTTACATCGATCGAATGAATAAATTTGAGTGGATGATTACCAGCAAAAAAATAGCTTTCCATTTGTCAGAGATATCCCGCCGTCCTGTTTTCTAGCATAATATACCTGAACTTTCGCAGAGTTTCCCGGCTCCGGGTTTGATTGATGCGAAGATAAACAACCGCTTCGAACATCGGAAAGACGCTTCGGCATTCGCGATATCGACGCCTGGCGCCGATTCATCGTCGTAATGGGAGCCCGGCGAATTCGTGTTCGGAGTTCTTGCATTTTTTTTGTCTCCGTCGCGGTAATTCAGACATAAAACACTGCTTGAATTTATCGTCCAGAGGGGTGTGAAGTGAATCGAAATGAAATTTAAGAAGCGTGCGGAGGACCACGTGCCCCTACTATTAGAATTTATGTTAGGAATTAGCGCCGGTTTTGATATAAACATGGTGGATTCTGAATAAATTTCGTATATTGATTGGATTTTTTTATTGTTTCAGGTCGAAGACGGCTGCATTTATATCATCACAAATTTCCGCCTCCCTGGGCTTTTTTGTTATTAGTTTTAGTATCGTCTTTAATTAGTATAGTAGGTAAGTACTCATCTCTTTTTATTTATGTTAGAATTATCCATTAGAATTTTAAGTAACTAAAAAAATTAATTACCTTAACGTATACAATATGTACTTTACATAATTAAATTAGAAATTCAAATGTCTCGGGACAATACGAATTTTTACACTCATAATAATATTGACACACGTTTAAAGCGTAATGTATGTGTAAAATAAATTACTCGAGCGAATCAATACTTTATAGACTGCTCGCCTTCGATATCTCGTATAAACGTTATAAAAACGATACGTCTCGTCCAGTTTATATCCAGTTATAAATCACACGCTAGTTGCACGCAATTCCTTTAAAAGCACAATAAACGCGTACAAGTTTGATATGACCCTCAAACCTTCACCATAATCGGAATTAATCGATTTATTCGTTAAGCTTATTATACGCTCTGAAGCAAAGTGGAGGGTTTTGAGTGTCAGACACCCCCTTGTATATTGGTAAAATAACCGAAAAAAAAGGAACATATTTGCCTCGTAATCTCTATAATTACTTTCTTTAATCTAGGACATCTCCATTTAGAACTGGTGTAAATAAGATCGTGATATCAAACGTTGAATGATGAACAAGATAATAACATACCTACTTGCTTGGTATATTTTTATTAGTTAACATACTGCAATACCCATACCCTCGACCTATCAACGATTGTCATTAAATTATAAGTGTATTATACGCCCATAACGATAAAAATCCAGATAAATTTAATATTTGCTATATTACAACTTGTTAAATGCTACAAAAATCTAAAACGTCTTTTCTCAACGGCGTTGTTAAACGGAATTACATTATTATTCACTGTAATTGAAAAATAATCGGGATTTCGAATCTAGCATGCAATGTTTGAACAACTGTGTGGCACTTGAAAATTTTTCTTTTTGTGTTGTCAACCCGAATTAAACGGAAAATAATAGAAATAAATAGGTAGAAACCGAGATAGTATGCTTATTATGAGACTACTTTGCTGAAAACAAGTTCTAAGTGCTCCACAATGGTTCCCTGAAGGTCTATTGTATGGATTTAAACGTTTTATTTCTCACAAAATCGGTCGTTACTGATGTGCTTTATGATTTTAAATTTATTTAGAAATTTATTTATTTTTACCCATCGTGCACAATCGTAATTGACGTTGGTAACCATATTTAATATTAGAGGAAGTTAGTCGAGTGATGAATCTTTAACGCTCAATAAATTTCGTATTTTTTAGTTTAAACTACGCGTGTGGTCACCGAGAAATATCCCTATTCTATAACTAAATAAAATACTTATCAACTCATTAAGTTCATGTTAGGAAATTTTCCATATTTTTCACATTACTATACGACCTTGACAATCGAGGAATATTACTATTTTAAATACCAGTATAAACGATTGAGTATTTTTTCTAATTTTAAAGGAACGAGGAGTTTATTTCCTACGTTTTTTCTTTATATATGATTTATACGTTTATTCCTCCGCAATCCTCGAACCAAGTCATTCCAGAAATTCCTAATCTCTTGAGCTACGAGTGTAATGAACCCGGTTAAATGCGTTTTCCGACATCAGCTTCATTATCCCCGAAGGACCCTTTTAAGCGTTAATACTTCCGTTATAAATACCTAAAACGTGCATAAAAAACGGAATCCGTTTTACAATCAATCACATAGCGTTCGCACGAGAACACGAAATGTTCTTTTTCACAAATTGAGTCGTATCATATAGGCCGGCGAGACGAGGTTTACGACGCTAAAAAATGGAATAGGTCCAACCTGACATGTCGGTCAACGACTCGTTACGTGCGTCTCTTTATTCTTACGTGCAAACCTGCGCTCGCACACATACACACACATAGGTTATATTGAAAGGAAAAATGCCAGCACGAGAAAAACGCATAGTAATGATAAATTTTCGACCCTCGTAACGCCGGTTGGTCAATAAAACGCGATGTTCCTTAAAAAATCTTTAAAGTCGAACCAGCAAGTAATGGTCGCGCAAGGCGCTAATTTCGCTTTGATATAATTACTATATTTCGGCACGAAAGTGTACCTACGAAATTTCGTAATTTACGTTATGAACCAAATAATAGCTAGATTGCCGGTGGCCTGTACACAATGCAGATTTTCTGCTGAGGCATAAATTCTTGCCCCAAAGCCACATTTTCTCTATAATTTAGATGGATATCGTCGAAATTGCTTAAGATTTTTTTAAATTATCAGCAAAAAACTCATCGACATATCGATGACTTACTCCAAATTCTATTTTTAATTTATAATATATTATGTTATATTATGTATTTGAAATACTTCAACTAACACAACATTTCCAAATTGCCAATTGCACAGCCGAATAATCAGTTGGTTTTTCTTTTAGAGACTGTCATGAACCAAACGGTATTCCATGACAGGCGCTCTATATACGTAATAAAGGTATCCGGCCAGCGTAACGTCTAGTAAAGTTCTTTTACTCGCAACGGGGAGTTATTTCCAGCATATAATCAAATGAAAATGACGACCTAGGATTCCGCGACGACCTACTTCACCGAATTTGCAATTTTGATTACCTATTTCAATAATTTTAGCTCTTTTGATAATAAAGAATCGGCGACAAGCCAAAGCCAACGCGACGATTTTGGGGATAATAAAATGGTACTTTGTGATAACTGCACCGCTTTATTTCGATAAAAAGCGGTTTATGAAGATATTCAACACGCAACTTGTTATTTTCAAAATTGTATCAAAAAATATTTTTGTTCCTTGTAATTGTAAAAAATTATGCTTACACTAAACTGAAAGATTTACGAGTATTAACTTACGAAAGCAAATAATCAAACGGCAGTTAATCGAAACAAAAAAAAACGTGACAAAATATTCTGGATTTTGATTGAAGCACACATTCGTTTATTTATGCAACGCCATATGGGGATTACGGGAAAAAAGGTTTCTGGTTAAATTTTATGATAAAAAAATCCACAAAAAATCGATTAATTTTATGCTACAAAATTGCGCTGTTTTATACCATAACTAAATTATCGAGTCTTTTGAACCCCTTGCGGCGCGTACTTGTATACATCCTAATCGGAAATGCATAAATAGTTGAAAACGACGGCGGAGACGTCGCTTTGGCGTCGGTCCAGGTCCATTTGCGGAGCGTCCACGCAACCGTTCGAGAACTAGACAGTGAAACGTGTGCCAAATGCTGAAGAGATTAAGTCCACGCGATCTAGACATAACGAAAAGGACGAAAAAAAAGTTGCAAGAAAATGAGGAGAGAATTTCGTTTGGAATTTTATCAATGAATTTTAATGCGGTTTATAAAAATCCGGCTGGCGCTACGTGGGAAGGTTACGGCTGATGTAATAAGTAAATGACGGTGATTATTGGTAGTGCATGGAAATAAAGTGTCGTGATTTTATTTAATAATGTCGTTAATTCGTTGGAGATTGAATTGACGCAGGTACACGAAAAGCAAATATTATAATTATACGTATAGAGAGCGTCCGTAATTTTTCACGAATGCTACTACAATAGCGCGGATATGATTTATTCGGGCCATTAAGTTCGATCGGTATCCGAGTGAGAAAATTAGATTCGTATCAGGTGAAACTAAACTGTTCGCATTTCGTAAATTGTAAAAATTACATACTTTTTTATCCTAATCACTCCATAACTTTTAGAGTTTGTTCGTTACAAATTCGATAGAAAAAATATAGTTTATGACACGTAATTATAGTACAGCGAAGACTTTTATTAGAAACCGAACTTATGAATATTTTAATATTCGAACTAAATTCCTTTACGAGGGGCGTACGTCAAGTACTAAGCATATTTAAATGGACAAGAAAACTCGTGCATATTATTTTGTAAATACAAAATTAAATAGCGTTACGAAGAGGTTAACTACGGTCAATGGTCACACGAACGAGTATAAAACACTAACTAGATGTACTTTAAATGAATTATAGCATACATCTTTAAATCGAATATAAGTAAATTTAAATAATCTATCTAAACCCAATATTTTTGCTACCTATTTGTGACATTGGTAGGTATTTATAATTTTATTAAGGTATACCAGTATACAAGTATATAAGGAATTTTACTTAATTAGTAGATACTAAAACAGTTTTTTCAAGAGCGGTTTTTCCAATTTGAATTTTTCAACTCTCTAAAAGCAGCGCTGCACACATTCAGCTAATGACAATAATTGCAACGAGAAATTACTAACGGATAGGCGATCAACATAATTATTATTCACTAGAAAGCTGTTATAATTGATTTAAACCACTACATTACATTATTTGCCACTAGTCTAGTTGGTCGACGGTTTCGACCTTTTTAATAACAATCATTATTGATCAAATTGACGGTTATCCCGCGCATATTTTCTAATTATTTAATTATCCATAATCATAGTTATGTCATTGAAAGTTTCGATTCATTTTCGTTATTTTTTCACTATACGATAAATGCACGACCAGTTTCTTTATCTCGAGCATATTCGATAATAATGGCCGAAAAGTAAGAATTATATACCTACCTGTTACTTAGTAGCAATTTATTTATCGAATTAATTAACCTTCTACGTCTCTGGCCCGCCGGAGCCCCGAAAGAATCTTGTCATCTCACTATCTGGCATCGTATTTGTCTGGATTAACTTGTTAAGATGACATGGAACAGTGAAAGGATGGAATGTCGGAACGAGATATATTGCCGGCGATGTTTAATAGAATCGCCTCGTCAATGGTTACAATTACTGGTCCGGGTGGTAATTGGCCCGACACCGGGTGGCGTGAGAACACGACTGTCGGCCTCTGCTCGGACACACCGATAGACTAATTTATGAAGCTCTGTCAAACGGACCCCCAGAGCGGGACTCCGGTTAAAAAGCGCACGGAACCGTTGGATATATACTTATGCTATAATTTAAGGCCGACTGAAGTGATATGCAGAGATTTATAAACTGTACGGTGGTCTAAAACGGACAATTCGAA